GCATTCAGATGTAAGAATTGAAAACTCTTTCGGCATTCTTTATTAAAAACACGCGAAAGCACCAATCTTTCTGATTGGTCCTTATATACTATTTGAAAGTTCCATCTTTTTATAACATACTCTTATTGAGAAAGGTAGGGAGCTCTATGGTCATGGTTTTAGGTTTCTTAAAGCTGGAGGAGCATTTGAAGGATACACATTACACAATCAGAAAAAGGTAAGAGAAGTCTGACCATATTATTTTAAAATCTCAAATTCATCAATACAATGTGATGTGCTTTAAAATGGTAAAATAGAAATGCATTGAAAGGAAAAAGAAAGTAGGATACAGCAACAGATATGAAGCCATCTATCACTTGGTCTTGGTAGGATATGAAGCCATCTTGTTGATCCCGCAGAGTCCCTCTGGTTTACCGGTGTTTCTCTTCATTCTAATATACCCTTTCTCTCCCCATTTTGATCCCCATGAGTTCTTGACAATAACGTAGTCTGATCCCTTTGATGAACCATACCCAACCGCTGCTACACCGTGGTCTAGGTCTGTTCCACATCGTCCATTAAACACTCCCTGTAACCAAAGCAAAAGAACCATCAATTTGTTCTTTTGAGAGAATGCAAGATTGGATACATAGCACACAAAGTTTAGATATCAGAATTATATGTTATGTACCCCTTTGTAGAACTGGAAGTCTCTTCCTGAAGCCTCAATAGCCACACTGACAGGCTGGTGAGCTAAAGCCTTCACCAGGCTTTCATCATCGTTTTGTGGTACGTCTTCGTATCCGCTGATTGTCACAAGTTCTACATCCTCCTGGAAAAGATTCATGAATGATCAGTCATTATAAGTTGCATTACAGTTATTTCTCATGTTTGTGTCTAGTGTTTGTTACCTTCTGCTCTTGGCAAATTCCTTCCTCCATGAGATAAGGGTAATCGTCTTCTTTGTGGAGACCGCCTGTCGAAATTATGTACTGGAATGCATAGTCCATGAGACCTCCATTGCAACCACTGTTGAAAGTTGTGTCACAGTCAATGAGTTCTTGCTCTGAAAGCGAACTCAAATTCCCTGTTGCGATCTGGTGAATTCCCTCAACAGCTGCAACTGTCGAAAACGCCCAACAGCTACCTGAAATGACAAAATAAGATTGTTTTTAAAAGATCTATCTCAATCTCTGGTTCTTTGAGATCAAGAAAAGATGAAAAGAGAGAGAAATGTTACCACATGAACCCTGGTTCTTGACAGGAGTCACAGCGCCTTTCTTCCTCCAGTCGACGGAATCTGGCAAGTCGGTGATGTCTCTGTACCTGAAGTTAGCAGAAGGCTCTCTCTTTCTAGAGAATTCCGGCTTTGCAAGTCCTAGATATCTTGCCTTGAACTCTTCATGGGTCAAATCCGCAAACTCGTTCAAACCGAGCCAGTAACTCTCGATCTCATTGTTCCTCTGGTCTATATGCATCAGGTTCTCTCTGAACACCTCGAACTTGCGAACTTTCTCCTCCACGCTTTGATAAGCCTTGGAGTGTTCTGACATCCATGACTCAAAAAGCTCTAGAAGCTTATCAGTGGATGTCAAATGCTCCGGATTATAACCAACGATGGAGAAATCACGAGCTAGAGCAGAACAGAGGAGGGCTGATGCTGAAATGGCGACGAAAAGAGAGAATTTGACAAGTGATGGTGCTGAAAAAGCCATAGCTGCTAAAGGTGTTCACTTAG